ATGAAATCTTTAATCTTTAATCACGGTATGGGGTAAAAATTACCAAATACATTTTAAAAATTACAAATTTTATTTCCCACCATTTTTTTTTAAATTTTCCATTTTCTGCTTTAAATAAAAGATAAGCGAGGAAAACCCAAAATAAACAAGAGAATAGACAATTTGCAGTTTACAGTGCAAAGTACTTATTAATTAATGTTTCTTCTTTTAATGTGTTTTTAATGACATGATATTTACACTGGATATCTCACTTCTCAATGTTTATTTATAATGTGTTTCTTTAGACAACCTGCTGTGGTGGCAGTGAGCTCACACTGATCTCAATAATAATAATAATAATGAGATACTGCTCGGTAAAGGTAGAATATCACTACTAACAAAGGTATTTTACTCCTTCATGTCTCCTTACAATGTGTCTTTTGAGATTATATGATGCAGTAGCAAGATAATCACACTGATCGCAGGGATATCTCACTCCTTCATGCTTATTTTCAATGTGTCTCTTCAGAGCCCATGCTTTAGTGGCAGCGTATTCACATTGATCGCATGGATATCTAACTCCTTCATGTTTAGATTCAACATGTATCTTCAGATTTCCTAATGTAGTGGCAGTGTACTCACACTGATCGCATGGATAACTTACTCCTTCATGTTTAGATTCAATATGTATCTTTAGATTTCCTAATGTAGTGGCAGTGTACTCACACTGATCGCAGGGATATCTTACTTCTTCATGTTTATTTTCAATATGTTTCTTCAGACTAGATGGTTGAGTGGCAGCGTATTCACAATGAGAACAAGGATATCTCACTCCTTCATGCTTATTTTCAATATGTTTCTTTAGACTAGTTGGTTGAGTGGCAGCAAATTCACAATGAGAACAAGGATATCTCACGCCTGCATGTTTAGATTCAATATGCTTCTTTAGATCATCTGCTCTAGTGGCAACATGATCACATTGATCGCAGGGATATCTCACTCCTTCATGTTTAGATTCAATGTGTAACTTCAGACTTCTTGCAGTAGTAACAGTATGATCACATTGGTCGCATGGATATCTTACCTTACCTTCATGTTTAGATTCTATATGATTCTTCAGACGACTTGCTGCAGTAGCAGCGTATTCACATTGATTGCAAGGATATCGCATTCCTTCATGTTTACTTTAATTATGTGTATTCAAATGACTGGATTTCCCACTTTTTTCTCTTTTTTCTCTCAGTTTCTTCTTTTTAAGTCTCTTTTCTTCAATCTTTACAACTTCACCTGAAAAATTAAAAAAGAAAAATTAATAAAATATCAAACACAAGTAAGACATATTTTATCTTAAAATTTTAACAAAATCCTAAAATTAAAGGGACTGTTGTTGTAATTTCAAGTGAGGGGCATGTTTGATTCACAACAATACCCTTGAAACCTTAATCTGATCTTTAATATGGAAGGTAATGGGTGCTATGAAAACGCATCACCATGGAAACGTCTCACCACATAAATGCCTCAAAAAACGGACTAATCAATCTAATTTAATACCAAAACAAACAAATTTAAAGAATCTTATTTTTGACTTTTTTATTTTTAAAATGCTAAGTATTAATTTCCTTAATTTCATTCTTAATTTATATTTGTATATGTATATGTAAATGTATATAATGTTCAACCATACCTTGATTTTCTGTAATTTCCTTTTTTACATCTTCTCCCACTACAAATACAGTACACGTATCCTCTGCAGTAGAGATTTCTTCTTTAAATGTAACTTTATCATCTTCGATAATTTCTGCCATTCTTTTTGAAATATATACAGTAAATATGGTATATGCATAAATGAAGAAACAAAAACTCAAACTGATAAAAAAGACGTAAATGCCAAAAAGATATTGTTGAATGTTAAGGTTCAAGCATTTTAAAAATTAAAACCGAAATGCGGGGAAAGAAGGAGAAAGACTGAGGATAAACCAGCTGACTGTAGACCNTGAACCCGCGCCTGGCCTGAATCCTCCATCCAATATTGTGAATCCTATGTTTGGATTTTGTCAGGATACTACGTGTTTAATATGTCCCGATAAAACCACGGAAAAAATCGGAAACTATGATGCCTGTTTTCCTAGCACAGATAAATCAATACCAGGATGTGAACGTGTACACTGGCATTCTAAGAATACACTTTGTTTTACAGCTGGTAAATTCAAAAAAACTAATATGTGGTAAAATTTCTCTGAGATAATTGTAAAACTTTATGAAATCTTTAATCTTTAATCACTGAATAAATATTTAGATCTTAAAAAAAAGATTTTTATGAAAAGCAAAAGCAGAGGTGTAAATATTTTTTAATAGCTTTAATAGGGGGTTGGGAAATGAAAATGAAAATAGGAAAGAAAATAGAAAGGACAAAAGGGAAAATGAAAGGGGAAAATGGAAAATGAAAGGGGAAAAGGGATGCCGGAGGGTTTTAAGAGATGAACCCAAAATTGGAAAAGGAATATGATATATGTTGAGAAACCACAGGCTAATATCTGTTAATATCATGTAAAATAAAAATAAAAATAGGAATGGAAAAACGGATTGGGAAAAGATAAAAAAGGAAGGGAAACTGTGATCCCGGGGGGTTAAAGAGACAAAATTTATCGATTGGGTTATTACTGTCTTTGACCATCTTATCCATTATCATTTTCTTATTTCTTCTATCTGAGTATTCTACTTTATGTTGTTTTACATTTGCTTTGATAATAGCAAATACCTTGGCCCAGGCTTAGCTACCATTCTACCTCTGTAGCTGCCTGCATATGATTTTGCAGCCCAGACCGACATTGTTGTCCACAATCTGTAATCAGCTCAAGTATAGGTATACTAAAATGTGACAGTGCTTAAACTAGTTTATAAAATAAAAAAGCACAGCCATAAATTGCAAAAAACTACAAACAAAACCAATATTTTCCATTTTGTTATGAACATAGCATTTGGCATTGATTTAATAGGCACTGGACCTTAATAAACTGCCAAATTGTAGCGTAAACCGTTTTAAACCATTTTTAATCTGCAAAATTAGGATTTAAATATCAATGACTAATAAATCCTACAATTTATTAAATTTTACAATTTAACAGTCGGCACACAAATCCAGCACATCAGGTATTTTAACATCTGGAAACAGACATAGAAATACAAGAGTGCTTAACCAACAAAAAGAAACATATCAAGCTTTCAACGATTTTTTCAAATCAAAGAAAACTGATATTGATCCACAAGCTTCACAGATATGTGCTGAACAATCTTCATAGATGAGAACATTTAATTTGCAGACACTTCAACCTGCAAAACATATGTCTGAAAACCTCTAAGGGGAATGAAAAAACATTTTTCCCTCATAGGGTAGGGGAAAAGGGAAAAAAGGGATGGGAAAAAGAGAAAAGTAAAAAAAGGGGGAAATAGAGAATTTTTTTCTGCTACTTTTTGCTCACTCAGGAAACAATGCAAAACATTTTTGAGGGAAAATATCAAAAATTTTCCCAAAATAACAACTTTGTGTTTTCCCCTTTAAAAAGCGAATCTGTTTTATGAAAAACAGTAACAGAAATACTTGATAAGAGCTTTAAGAACTTCATCTAAATCTCAGTTATGACCCTTGTAATTGACCCTTTTAGGGCACCAAAATGTTCATTGTTCGCCCGTTATTCAAAAAGTTTCTTTGCAAGCAAAGTTCTTCGAAGTTGTGCTGAGTCAACCTATAAAAAAACACTATTTTTGTGGTTGTAACCTTGAATAAATGANCCCCTTTAATAACTAGAGAGGGGAGGGAGAAGTCTCCCTTTTCCCCATTGCAACAAATTCAGTCTTCACAAATTAAGGTGTAAGGATGTGTAAGAGTTAGGGATTGATCACAGGGATATCTTACTCCTTCATGAATATTTTTAATATGTTTCTCCAGACTACCTGCCCTAGTGGCAGCGTACTCGCATTGATCGCATGGGTATCTCACTCCTTCATGTTCATTTTCAGTATGTTTCATCAGAATACCTGCTGTTGTTGCAGAATAGTCGCATTGATCGCATGGATATCTCACTCCTTCATGTTTAGATTCAATATGTCTCTTCAGACATCTTGCAGCGTGATCAAATTGGTCGCATAGATATCTCACCCTCTCATGTTTATTTTCAATATGTATCTTCAAAGATCTTGCTGTGGTGGCAGCGTGATCACATTGGTCGCATGGATATCTCACTCCTTCATGTTTATTTTCAATATGTTCCTTCAGATATCTTGCTGTAGTGGCAGCGTGATCACATTGGTCGCATAGATATCTCACCCTCTCATGTTTAATTTCAATATGTATCTTCAGATATCTTGCTGTAGTGGCAGCGTATTCACATTGATTGCATGGATATCTTACTCCTTCATGTTTAGATTCAAAGTGTATCTTCAGACTACTTGCTGTAGTGGCAGCGTATTCGCAATGAGAACAAGGATATCTTATTCCTTCATGTTTAGATTCAATATGGAACTTCAGACTACTTGGTGTACTTGCAGCGTACTCACATTGATCACAGGGATATCTCACTCTTTCGTGTTTAGATTCAATATGTTTCTTCAGAACACCTGATCTAGTAGCAGCGTACTCACATTGATTGCACGGATATCTTACTCCATCATGTTTAGATTCAATTTGTATCTTGAGACTACTTGTTGAAGTGGCAGCGTATTCACAATGAGAACAAGGATATTTTATTCCTTCATGTTTATTTTTAATATGTATCTTCAGATTACATGCCTGAGTGGCAGCGTACTCACACTGATCGCATGGATATCTTACTCCTTCATGTTTAGATTCAATATGTCTCTTCAGACTTTCTGTTGTAGTGGTAGTGTATTCACACTGTTCGCATGGATATCTTACCCTTTCATGTTTATTTTCAATATGAATCTTTAAGTCACCTGCTTGAGTGGCAACGTATTCACAATGAGAACTGGGATATCTCACTCCTTCATTACTTTAGATTACTTTGGTCGGTTGCTGTGTACTCGCATTGATTGCATGGATATCTTACTCCTTCATGTTTATTTTCAATGTGTTTCTTTAAATAGCGTACTTCAGTAGCAAGGTACTCACACTGAACGCAGGGATACCTCACTCCGTCATGTTTACTCTGAGTATGTGTCTTCAAATGACTGGATTTAGTTGCCACATAATCACATTTTCCACAGAAATAATTTTTATCTCCTTTTTGTCTCAGCTTACTTCTTTTAATCTTCTTTTGTTCAGAGAAAAGGGGATCTACTTCAATCTTGACAACTTCATCTGGAAATTAAAAAATATAATTAACAAAATATTAATTTAATATTTTATATTAATACTATCGCAAATTCACAACGGTAACCTTGAAACCTTAATCTGATCTAGAATGTTATGCTTTGTAATTTCTGCATTGTTTCTAAAGCAAGAAATGAGAAATTTAGTGAAGAACCCACAAATTTAAATAATTAGTATTTTTAAAACAAAACTTTGGAAATCTCATTCATAATTGATCAAACAAAATTTATATTACCGTTTTGAATCTGAACTATCATTCTATCAATTGAGAGTCACTTGAAATTACATCTACAGTCCCTTTAATTAATGAATAATCTATCCTAGTTTTATATGAGAACTTGGTAAATGTTGATTTCAAGTCTTTGATAATATTTCTTCACCCGATTGATTATCAAATTAAATCAAATCTTTTAAGCGTTCAAAATTTAAAACTCTATTAAATGAGGGTTACTTGAAATTATGTCTATACACAGTCCCTTTAATTAGTGAATAAACTATCCCACTAGCTGGTGTAAGATCTGAGGATCTTTATAAACTAATGTGTGTTCAGGGTGTTCTGCGACAAGACGTTACTCAGTGTGTTCAGCCAGGAATTCTCTGCAAACAATCAATCTATCACACAGAACTCTACATGCACAATTTTCTACTAATCAATCACGTGTTCAACTCTATATAATTAATTGAGATTTTTAATCTGTAACTATTTAAAGGCCAATTTTTATAATGAATAACCTGATTTTGTTTTATAATGCAGAAACTGAGTTTTATGGTTAAAATGTTTTATAATTTAACATATATGTATAATATTTAGCCAAAACCTATATACTGTCTCGCCAATGCCTAATTAAAACCTAGCCTAAGCCTCAAAAAAACTGTAAATAATGAGTTTTATCTTTCAGAACACAATGGGTCAGTTGCCCCCTCTTTCTCCAGGTCTATAAATCATCCGTAATAAATACCAAGGCTAATAAACGTTGAATGCTCTTTACACAACGTTGCAAAGTTTTATTCCTACGGATGGTTTATAAAATATATGTAGATAATTGTGATTGTTGTGATTCCTCTAAATAGTTCCGGGCTCGTATCCGTGCTTTAAACCAGGTGAAAAAATTGCAAATGTCTAAAATGAGCTTAAATAATATCCTGACTTCTCACAAATCTCTCAACATAATTCTCATGCTAGGCTGGCACGAGTCCCGTTGATATACAAACTCGACTTGCTCCGCTGACTCGCGGAGAAGTTCTTAACTCCTGAGATGGTTCCTTCTCTTCTACTCTGAGATGGTTCAGTTCTCCTCTACTCCCACCTACTAATCTTGACATCCTGAGTGTAAGGAAGTCTATATAAAGGTGAGGATCAAAGCTCACAACCTTTGAGCTCTGGAACTCGGTCTAATTAGTTCTATTTAGACCTCCGTTGTCAAGACTCCGACATCACCGGAAGCTGAGTCATCCTTGTTCTCTGGATCCTCAGTTTATGCTCCAGAATATCCTACTGGTACTCTAGAGACCCATATACCTCTACGTACCAGGCCTGCACAACTTTGGCTTAGTTGTATCCTCTTCTCCAGTTTCTCCGACGAGAAGAACTTTTGCTCCCCTCCTATACCTCCACGGAAGGGCTCTGATTCTGTATCCCTGGTCTAGCTCCTCCTCTAGATCAAATACAGGTAATAAATCTAAAAATCACGATGCTTGTGATGAATGTGAGAAAGTCACCACTTAAAAAAGGATATTTGAAGTGAAACATGAAAACTTCGATCGGACTAAATAAGCTCATTTTTAGTTATCCTGTTCGCGACTGCGGTGCAATTTAATGAACTATAGGCTACAAACCTCTGGACAAATCAACATTGTAAGTTTATTTTCTTATTATATAAATAATTTAATAGTTAACCTGGAGAAAGTTTTATTTTAAAGGCTAAAATTTTATTATTGTCATGCATATAATTAACCCTGGACTGATCTATAGTGTTTTCAGTTCACGGTTGAGTCCTGTATAAACTGCCTACCTGAAATATATACATAAGATTTAATCAGTGCAAATTGAGGTAAGCCAAAGGGAAAGAGTTCATGCTCAACTCTTATGTTTGTAGTTATTACCTGGTTCCTAAAGGTAAAATTGAGCACAGCTGGTTTTTATCAAATTCAAGGTTAGTTTACAAATGCATGGGGGAAAAATACAAGATTATTGCAAGCAAAAATATAAACATCTATCAATTGTCGAAGAGACAGGGTGGGGTTAGTTAATACAAATATACAGGGTGAGTAAAAAAGGACAGGTTAAGACAATTTAGAAAAGAATTTTAAAGAGCAAGTGGGGAGTGGGTGTTCCTTCGCTAAAATAGGAAAGTTTCGTAAAATTTGGAATATTAACTTTCATTTTATGAAAGACGATTTTTTTTCAATTTGAAAGTGTCAACCAAAAGCCGATTTTAAGAATTTTAGATCTATGAGCCTTAACTTCCAGAAACATCAAAAATCGATCACCCTTAACTAAAAAAATTCGGTAGTTCAAAAATAATTCAAGAGGTAAAAAATTCTTCAAAATACATGATTTGTGTATCAAGAGATCCGTATGAAAATACTGATATTCAGAAATTATAAAATTGTTGATAAAAAAACTGATTTTTAAGACCATAGACGAAAATTTTGGCCGAGTCTCAAAAATCAGTATTTTTGCAATATATCAAACAAATTTGTAATTTTTTGTGGTAATGTTTTTTTGGGTTTATAAGCTTGAACTTCTAAAAAAACTTTAAAAATCGACCAACCTCAATAAATATATGTATATATTATATATCTATAAAATGTTCAACAATACCTTGATTTTCTGTACTTTCCTCCTTTACATCTTCTCCCACTTCAAATACAGTACACGTATCCTCTACAGTAGAGATTTCTTCTTTAATGGTAACTTTATCATCTTCCATAATTTCTGCCATTCTTTCTGAAATATGTACATTGTACAATACCAGTTATATTTCAATGCTAAATAGGCTATTAATAAATATGAATTAAAAGCTAGATTTGCAAACAAAGATTTCCACTGATTAAAATTAACTCTTTCTCTATCTATATAGTTAGCTTGTCTGTCTGTTTGTATCCCATAAACGTCAAAACGCCTACAAATTTGTTGTTTGACCTTACATGACCGCAGGAAAGATTAACAATGATTTAAAGGAAGTAAGCGTCAAGAAGAGGTTGTTAAATGTTTATGTTAACCCTGTGATTTTTTTATATAAAGATATTTACGTTGTGTTTTCTCAATAAAAGTTTGAGGAAAAAGAAAATGTTTATGTTTAAATATTGTAAAATAAGAAATTATGATTTATATAATAAAAACCAATAATGCGCAGAAAGAAGGAGAAAGACTGAGGTTAAATCTGCTGACTGTAAACCAGGTCAGGATACATCAGCTGTAAGGTACTTGTGGGTTGGACCGGCCCGGGAGGCAGGTATAGCTCCTAGGTAAGCACTGACCGTTCCTATCCCCTCCCCACTCCACAGCATATCGTATTTACACTAGTCACAGTGATATCTTCATCCTTCATGGTTATTTCTAATATGCTGTCTTAGATAGCCTTTTTGGGCAGAGGTGACATCACACAGGAATATGTTCATTCTTTATACTTTTATGTTTGATTAAAATATGCCTCCTGAAAATAACTTTGAACAGTACCAGAGTACTCACAATGACTACAGGAATATCTCACTCCTTAATGTTTATTTTTGATATGTTTCTTTAGATTACTTGGGTCAGCCGCAGCATAAACACACTTGCCATAGGGATATCTAACTTCTTCATGCTTTCTCCCAATGTGTTTCTTTAGATTAGTTGCTTGTGTGGCCACGTAATTGCACAGATCACAGGGATATTTCACACCTTTATGTTTATTTTCAATACATTTCTTCAGATCACCTGCTGTAGTGGCAGCGTATTCACAATGAGGACAAGTTTGTTTAGATTTAATATTTTTTCTTCAATTGAGATACTGCTAGGTAGAGGTAAAATATCACTACTAACAAGGGTATTTTACTCCTTCATGTCTACTTTCAATGTGTTTCTTTAAATAGCGTACTTCAGTAGCAAGGTACTTACACTGATCGCAGGGATACCTCAGTCCTTCATGTATACTTCGAATATGTGTCTTCAAATGACTTTGGTTAGTTGCAGCATAATCACATTGACCGCAAGGATATCTTACTCCTTCATGTTTAGATTCAAGATGTCTCTTCAGATTTTTTGTTGTAGTGGCAGTGTATTCACACTGATCGCATGGATATCTTACCCTTTCATGTTTATTTTCAATATGTATCTTCAAACATCTTGCTGTAGTGGCAGTGTACTCGCATTGATCACAAGGATATCTCACTCTTTTATGTTTAGATTCAATATGTTTCTTCAGACCACCTGATCTAGTAGCAGCGTACTCACATTGATTGCATGTATATCTTACTCCATCATGTTTAAATTCAATGTGTATCTTAAGACTACTTGCTGTAGTGGCAGCGTATTCACAATGAGAACAAGGATATCTTATTCCTTCATGTTTATATTTAATGTGTATCTTCAGACTACATGCCTGAGTGGCAGTGTACTCACACTGATCGCATGGATATCTTACTCCTTCATGTTTAGATTCAATATGTCTCTTCAGACTTTTTGTTGTAGTGGCAGTGTATTCACACTGATTGCATGGATATCTTACTCCTTCATGTTTAGATTCAATATGTCTCTTCAGAATTTTTGTTGTAGTGGCAGTGTATTCACACTGATTGCATGGATATCTTACCCTTCCATGTTTATTTTTAATGTGAATCTTTAGATTACTTTGGTCAGTTGCTGCGTACTCGCATTGATTGCATGGATATCTTACTCCTTCATGTTTATTTTCAATGTGTTTCTTTAAATTGCGTACTTCAGTAGCAAGGTACTCACACTGATCACAGGGATATCTCACTCCTTCATGTTTACTCTGAATATGTGTCTTCAAATGACAGGATTTAGTTGCCACATAATCACATTTTCCACAGGGATAACTTTTATCTCTTTTATCTCTCAGTTTACTTCTTTTAATCCTCTTTTGTTCTGGGAAAAGGGGATCTACTTCAATCTTGACAACTTCATCTGGAAATTAAAAAATATAATTAACAAAATATTAATTTAATATTTTATATTAATATTATTGCAAATTCACAACGGTAACCTTGAAACCTTAATCTGATCTAGAATGTTATGTTTTGTAATTTCTGCATTGTTTCTAAAGCAAGAAATGAGAAATTTAGTGAAGAACCCACAAATTTAAATAATTAGTATTTTTAAAACAAAACTTTGGAAATCTCATTCATAATTGATCAAACAAAATTTATATTACCGTTTTGAATCTGAACTATCATTCTATCAATTGAGAGTCACTTGAAATTACATCTACAGTCCCTTTAATTAATGAATAATCTATCCTAGTTTTATATGAGAACTTGGTAAATGTTGATTTCAAGTCTTTGATAATATTTCTTCACCCGATTGATTATCAAATTAAATCAAATCTTTNTATTGTCATGCATATAATTAACCCTGGACTGATCTATAGTGTTTTCAGTTCACGGTTGAGTCCTGTATAAACTGCCTACCTGAAATATATACATAAGATTTAATCAGTGCAAATTGAGGTAAGCCAAAGGGAAAGAGTTCATGCTCAACTCTTATGTTTGTAGTTATTACCTGGTTCCTAAAGGTAAAATTGAGCACAGCTGGTTTTTATCAAATTCAAGGTTAGTTTACAAATGCATGGGGGAAAAATACAAGATTATTGCAAGCAAAAATATAAACATCTATCAATTGTCGAAGAGACAGGGTGGGGTTAGTTAATACAAATATACAGGGTGAGTAAAAAAGGACAGGTTAAGACAATTTAGAAAAGAATTTTAAAGAGCAAGTGGGGAGTGGGTGTTCCTTCGCTAAAATAGGAAAGTTTCGTAAAATTTGGAATATTAACTTTCATTTTATGAAAGACGTTTTTTTTTCAATTTGAAAGTGTCAACCAAAAGCCGATTTTAAGAATTTTAGATCTATGAGCCTTAACTTCCAGAAACATCAAAAATCGATCACCCTTAACTAAAAAAATTCGGTAGTTCAAAAATTCAAGAGGTAAAAAATTCTTCAAAATACATGATTTGTGTATCAAGAGATCCGTATGAAAATACTGATATTCAGAAATTATAAAATTGTTGATAAAAAAACTGATTTTTAAGACCATAGACGAAAATTTTGGCCGAGTCTCAAAAATCAGTATTTTTGCAATATATCAAACAAATTTGTAATTTTTTGTGGTAATGTTTTTTTGGGTTTATAATCTTGAACTTCTAAAAAAACTTTAAAAATCGACCAACCTCAATAAATATATGTATATATTATATATCTATAAAATGTTCAACAATACCTTGATTTTCTGTACTTTCCTCTTTTACATCTTCTCCCACTACAAATACAGTACACGTATCCTCTACAGTAGAGATTTCTTCTTTAATGGTAACTTTATCTTCTTCCATAATTTCTGCCATTCTTTCTGAAATATGTACATTGTACAATACCAGTTATATTTCAAAGCTAAATAAATGAATATATTTAGCTTGACGGTCTACTTGTTTGTTTGTTTGTATCAAATAAATGTCAAAACGGCAATACATTTTTGGTGGGACCTCACATGACCCCAGGAAAGGTTTATGGATGCTTAGAATTTCAAAAATTTGATTCCAAAAAAATTTAGAGTTTCATATAATTTTGAAAATAAACAAAAAATTTGATAAAATCCACGAATTTATTTTGCAATGGTTTTATATTTTTCTATAAACGATAGAGCCCAGCCATAATTGAAAGTTAAAAAGAATATAAACATGAAGCGCCCTAAAAGCCTAGTCTAATGTAGAAGTATATATGGGCTGACAATTATCTTCTCAATTTATTTATTTATAACGAAAGGGCTCCTTTGCCTTCAAAGTGACTTTAGAAAAAACGAGCAACCCGACCCACCAACAACCCAATTAGATAATTAGATGTGAGCCTCAGGGTATATAATATAGTAGTATATAATTTAGTTAAGTATATATGGGCTGCCAATTATCTTTTCAATAATAATATAATAACACAGAGACTACAGTAAACTTCAGCTATAGATATAGGACTTTCTTTAGTGGACTATTGTGGTCTAATGACCTATCTTTTTAGCTGTAATCTTGTATGTGTAGGTTTCAATGGACTTAACTAATAAATTTATTGATTAAATAGGACAAATACAGTCCATAAGGATTCAGGGTATTGGCAATCCTGCTCCTAGTCTATCTTCAATCTTCCCCAATCTTACCTTTCACATCCCCCAACATTTGATTAAAAAAGACAAATTGTAAACGTCTTCCCCTCCCATCCCAACTAATCAACCCCTGGGGGCAATAAAAGTTCTTATTTCCTCGCATCATGTTCAGTGTACACTGAACACAACAAAATTACTAAAAAAAATGGCGGAAACACGTGGTTTGTTTCCTGCAGCTTTTAGTGAGATCTTCTGCCGAGTAGGAGATTGAGAGATCACTTGTGGAGAGAGATCTGAATTAGAACTGAATTAATATTAAATTATTATAAATAAATTCAGNGAACAAAAAAATTATATAATTAGGAACAAAAAATCTTGCCGCAGACGAAAATTTTTTTTTTACTTAAAAGACTCAAAAAGAGTCAAAATTAATGATTTAGGAACAATAAAAAGATTGTTCAGGAATAAGGAACAAAAATAAAGGATTAGGACAAGGATTTAGGAATAATAAAAAGATTGTTCAGGAATTAGGAACAAAAATATAGGATTAGGACAGGAATTTAAGGTGGGTCGGACAAAGTATTAGGAACAGGAACAATAATAGGAATATTAGCAATTTAAGAACAAAAAGAAATTACTAGTTATACTTAGGAACTTATGTAAATTAGGAACAATATTACAATTTTGATAAATGAGTATTGATTAAGGAACATTACAGATATGAACAATATTATAACTTAAGTCTAGTTTCTTACAAATTTCTAATTCCAAATTTATCGTTAACAATAACATTTACTTGTTGTCGTTGATTTTTAAATTAAACTGAAGAAAAGAAAGTCAAGATGTGCAGTATGCCGTGTATTAACACCAATAAAACAAAACACAATGTCGTCGTATACTTACATCGTTGGTTATATTTATTTTTAACAAGCTAGAAAAATATTTTTTTCGTCCTTCGGATGATTCAATTTTTCAATAAATATTAGTTATTATATTTCCATTAAATAAAAAATAATCAAATAGCTTGAAATTGAAAAACACATGTGATTTATTAAATTGGGAACATTTTTTGCCTCGAAATCTAAGGGGGGGGGCGAATGTCCCCCCGCCCCCCCGTATCCGCCCCTGAATAAATTGTTCAATTCGTTATAAATAAATTATTAAATTGATTATAAATTAGTGCATCATATTCAAGTATTGTATATTTGCTGCACTTTCATGCGGCCGGTGCATAGTGCATAGATGCAATTTTGAAACTCACAGATTCAAGTTCATTTTCAGAATTTAGAAAGTTTGAGGTATAGCAAGAGATTTGCTTATCAGACTGTGAAATTTCTCACATCAAATTAAACTTTACATGTCACCAAAAATGTGTAATTTTTGAAATATTTTTGATTTTTTTCCCCTAAAATTTTTCCCAGACAAGTAAATAGAGATAACGAACAAAGTGTTGAAATATAGATTACGAAGTTATTTTAAGTTATTTGCCAAAACTGAACATCAATATCTATGAAAAAATATTAATATTTAGTAAAAACAAATGATTTTACCTTGATAAATAAGATGATGATCTATTTTTTTGATAAGTTTGGTAACCATCATTGTGGGAGTGAACTTTACTTTTGTGGGAATAAAATTTATCTTCTGGAAAATCTGTTGTATTGAAGTTTGATGGATTTTGGGGGATTTCTGTATTTTGGGAAAAGTAGTCACGTGCATTTTCGCAGTTGGTACAATCTGCCGCGTTATTTTCCAGGATTTCTTCAAGATGTTTTCGCGGGTTTTCTGCATTTTGCAATTTCAGCGTTGAGGGTTTTACAGGAGATTCTAGTTTGGGCAATACTTGGCAAACAACTTCTTTTTCGGATTTAAACAATTGATTCCCATTGCCGTTGCTGTTGTTTGGTTTGGAACCGTTCATAACTCCATTACCAGGGCTCTTATTTAACGAGGATGGATTAACGGTTGGAACCCCACTCTTAGATATGGCTGCAAAGGTTTGCGAGAAATCTCTGTTAATTGGAACTCCATTGCAGTCACTGCAGAATATAGACACAATTCAAAACCATTCATAATTATTAGATAGTAAATATTTCAACAGATTCCGATGATTTATTTCTTTTAAAAATCGAAAGAAAAGATTGAGAAAAGAAATAATTTTGGAATAATAAAATAGTTTTGTGACAATTCCCCCGTATTCCATTCCTTCCCCCACTCCCTCCCCCCTATCTGCAATAAAATGTTTTATGAGAAAAGAACAAATACATTGGAAGATGTAAAGTTTGATTTGTTCAGTTCTAATCCTCCTCGTTATACACTCTCCTAATATGCTTATTTCAGTTTCCGAAAACAAAGTTATATCAAAATTAAGCTTTAAATTATATTTAAATTCCTTCCTTTTTCTCCTACCTTATATAATTAACCCTCTTTTTACAAAATATTCTTCCATGACCCCCCTACCCCCCCCCACTAATATTTTCCCGTTTTATGTTTTTCCAAAGAATAAAGAGTTTGGTTTTGTTTGTTACTGCAAACCAAAGGGAATATATGGTAATACAGGATCTGCAGTAAATACAGATAGTTTGACAGTTAGGCAGTTAGATAGTTTTAGTTAGATAGATAGATAGTTGGCTTGTTAGATAGTTAGAAATTTAGATAATTGGATAGTTAGATAGTTTAATTGTTGGATAGTTGGATAGTAAATAGTAGATAGTAGTTAATTAAATATCTAGATAGTTAGAAATTTAGATAGTTGGATAGTAGATGGTTCGATAGCTATATAATTAAATAGCTAGATAGTTAGAAATTTAGATAATTGGATAGTTAGATAGTTTAATCGTTGGATAGATGGATAGTATATAGTAGAGTAGATAAATAAATAGTTAGATAGGCTAGATAATTAGATAGTTAGTTTCTTAAATAGCTAGATAGTTAGATAGTTAGATAGTTAAATAGTTAGTCAGTGAGATAGATATTGAGATAGTTAGATAGTTAGATAATTGGCTAGTTAGATAGTTGGCTACTTAGATAGTTAGATTATTAGATAGTTTGATAGTTGGCTGGTTAGATAGTTGGCTAGTTAGCTAGTTAGATAGTTTTATATAGTTAGAAAGCTAGATAATTAGATAATTAGATAGTTAAATATTTAGATATTTAGATAATTAGATAGTTAGATAATTAGAAAGCTAGATAGTTGGATAGTTGGATAGTTAGATAGATAGATAGTTGGACAGTTAGATAGTTATTGACAGAAAAGTAGGATTTACAAGATACACACAAAATAACAACGAGTCAAATGTTTTTAAGAAGTCTCTATTCAATAAAAAAATCAGAAAGGAATTATAATGTTAGATAGATATGTTTCATAAAATAAAGCTAAATAGATGGATATGTGGAAGACGATGCCTGGCCGCGTTAAACTAGTTCCACAAGATTCAACAGAATGAGATAGAACAGATACGGGGCATTAGACTGATATCATCTCTACAGTCTACACGTGCGATATCGATATTGACTCTAGTTCTGAACCCTCTAGTAATAAGTTATAAGAAATATATATATACTGGAAGTTATTTATGCGTTTTATTAGAGTCTGACTCACGTCCTCTATATTGGTGACCCCTGACTTTGAACATACAGTTAAACGCTATCCAGTTTANATAATAATAATAATAATAATAATAATAATAATAATAATAATAATAATAATAATAATAATAATAATAATAATAATAATAATAATAATAATAATAATAATAATAATAATAATAATAATAATAATAATAATAATAATAATAATAATAATAATAATAATAATAATAATAATAATAATAATAATAATAATAATAATAATAATAATAATAATAATAATAATAATAATAATAATAATAATAATAATAATAATAATAATAATAATAATAATAATAATAATAATAATAATAATAATAATAATAATAATAATAATAATAATAATAATAATAATAATAATAATAATAATAATAATAATAATAATAATAATAATAATAATAATAATAATAATAATAATAATAATAATAATAATAATAATAATAATAATAATAATAATAATAATAATAATAATAATAATAATAATAATAATAATAATAATAATAATAATAATAATAATAATAATAATAATAATAATAATAATAATAATAATAATAATAATAATAATAATAATAATAATAATAATAATAATAATAATAATAATAATAATAATAATAATAATAATAATAATAATAATAATAATAATAATAATAATAATAATAATAATAATAATAATAATAATAATAATAATAATAATAATAATAATAATAATAATAATAATAATAATAATAATAATAATAATAATAATAATAATAATAATAATAATAGTAATAATAATAATAAAAATAATAATAATAATAATAATAATAATAATAATAATTTCTCACGTCATGATCCTCATCAAATAAAGAGTTTTCTTCTTCTCTTGCCTAAAATAATTTGTAAATTATATTTTTGTAAAATTATTTTGTTAAATTGTTTTAAATGTTTTAATTCTGAATCTGATATTGAGGTAGTTGAGGGAACCCTGAATTAGAATATTCATGTAACTGTGGACTATTCGTTTTTATTACACTATTAATACAACCATGGCATGATCGGGGGGAGGGATCTAGTAGGGAGAACAGGGAACAGGAAGGGGAGGGGGGTTTAACGCAAAAAATAAAGAGGAAAAGGTGGGAGGGAGAAGGGAAAACGGGGTAAACATGAAATAGATTTACAAGAGTTTTACACAAGAAATAAAAGAGGGGTGTGGGAACCTAGCGGAACAGGTGATTCTATGAATGAAATATAAAAGTATAAACATCTATATTAAAATATTTCTTTTTATAACTAACCCTTATTATCTTGTTTCTCTTCTTTTTCCGACCTTTCTGTTTAACTAGCAGAGCCACGAGTAGAGAGCATGCCAAGAGGGCTAATCAACACATAATTAAACATAATCAATCAATCAATCAATTTGGGACTGATTAAATTAATCAAACCAATTAGATTATCAATACATCTCAACAATCTATCAGTGAAACAAGTGTTAGAAGGGACTGCATAGTTAATATTTCACAATATTTTTGATTTTTTAAAAAAATATTTTCGCTGGCTCTGGATTTTCGAACATTCCTGGAAAATATGAAAATGTCGTCTTCATTATCAAAAACCCTCGAAACAGGAATAAATGTTTTCAAAAGTAACTCTCAGATCATGAAAAATACAAAATATTATGAAATGCCAACTATTTACGAATGCGTAGAAAAATAATCGATGACTACTGTTTTTAATACCTGAATGATTTGTTTGGAATTAAATTGATTTGTTTACGATCCGAGTAGAATGTTGCATTTTTCTGAATTTGTATGAACGCTTCGTTCTTCGGTATTAGTCGTTTTTAACAATTTTCTCCTTATAGACGCAACAGATAGAAATAAGATTAGCAGCGATCAAAAGCGCTCTTTTATCGCATTAAGCCTATACCCGAACACTCCCTTTAAATCTTCTGAAAATTTTGTATTTTTATTATGTTCTTTTCTTAATCTTAATTTCTTTTTAAGGAGACAGTGCACGTAATTTAAAGTGTCTCTCCGTTTTGGGGAGGTATGGTCGATTCAAAACTTTGTCTGATCAAGATATATATATCATATATATCTTTAAATGTGAGGTTTCTTGAAATTTATGACGACAGATTACGGCTGTGCATCCCTTTAATTCCGTTCCTCAAAACTCCAATCATTTGAATTAATAAAACCCTAATTATCAAACCAAATCATTTAATTAAAATTTCTTTTTAATTATTTAATTATATGTTCCTAGAATGAAGAGAATAAGGACTCCTGATACGACACTTATTCCCTGTATCAATGGCCCTCCAGGGGAAACCGGCCTTTTTTCCACTTGTAATCTGAAAAATATTAAATTTTTTTTTTAATATAGAAACACAAATTTGAACTTCCAACTTGATTGTGAAAGTAGACTGATCAATATTTGGAAATACACATTCCATCTCAATTCGAAACAAAACAAAGAAAAATAGTTTTTTTTCCACAAACTCTAATTTTGTAATCTCTTTGCAACTCGATGTCGCAAACTTTAAATATTTGAAACCATGTCTTATGTTAGATAAAAAAGTTTCAAGTTTTAAATATCAAAGGCTTAGATCATCAGGTTGCGAAGATATGGGATCGATGGTTTCTTTATGATCTTTAGAAATTTTAAACACGTTTTCGTTTATTTTTAAAACAAATATAAAGTTCAAATTTGATTTATTGTGAGGTTTATAATGATAAAAGCACGTCTGTTTAATTGTACTATTTCAAATTTATTCAAATAGCTTTTCTCAATTTCTATGTTGGAAGTTTTTTTTCTTTCTGGTTTATCTTCTTTTCTTTTAATTTTTTTAGTTTTATTTTCTTCTTCTTTTTTCCCTGTTATCATGTTTTGTTTTTAATCAAGAAATAAACAATAACAACCAAGACAGAATCCCCGCCCCATCCTATTATTTATTCCCCTACCCAAGAGAGTTAGAAGAATCTAAAAATTTCCCCCAATCTGTCCAGACAGCCTAGACATTTTCCCCCACCGTTACTTCGATATTGGATTGTAAAGGCAGTTTTCGGAAGGGGGATTATACTATTTATGTAGACGTCAAAATACAGAAAAGAAGAAACATTTTGAATTGTTTATTTTGAAAAAATTCAGTTTTTTACAATACTAGATTTATTTTTTAGATCAGAAAATCAGGAACATTGCACGGTATATTACAGTTCATTTCGTGTACCGGGCCGGATTTCAACTAGCCTGGGCAAGTAGTACAATACAAATACAGACAATATCAGGCAAAACGAGACTGTACGCTGAATGAATGATCCACTTCTAGTGATATTTGTGTAACACATGTCTTTTTCACACCAAATCAGAATTAACAAAAGACAAGATTATTGGTCTTTAGAACTTTATCCGGAGAAGGGTTATCTAATGGTAAATCTACAAACGCCTCTGGGAAAATATCAATTTGGTTCAGCCGTTTTATGTTTCTAAGCCTTACAACAAACAACCACCCAAGAAAAATATCAAGACAAATATAAATGAGTCAGTAGTAGTCAGCAGTAGTCAGTAGTAGTCGGTAGTAGCCAGTAGTAGTCAGTAGTAGTCAGTAATAGTTAGCATTGAAGGGACTGTCTACATAGTTTCAAGCGATCCTTTACAAAAGATCCTTATGTCCGATTCGCAATGGCACCCTTTAGTGAGTGACAGGAAGAAAGATATCGTCGTTTACAATCTTGAAATGATAATTTTTGTCAATTTTTTCCTTTTCTTTTGTTAAGTCACACAAAAATTATAAATTTTCAGATTCTCTGTAATTTTTCTTAGACAAAAAATCATCAATATCACGTTCATAAAAAAATTTAGAAAAAATCCAACTTAATTTATGTTTATTCATTCAACTCATTTGTTATTCATTCAATTCATCTCTTATTTATTCTAAACTAACCATTATCATTCTACTTCTGGTTTTACTATTTTCATCATTTTCAAAATTTCAAAATTATAATAAATAAATTTATTTCTACCTAGATAAAGCAGTATATAATTTAAAATGAGTGCCCCCCCCCCC